TTTAGTATTTCCTATAAGCTTTCCTTTCCCTCCTTGGTCCCAAGGAGACTCATGGGACTAAATTATGCCAGCTCAGAGGAGCAAAGCATAGGAATAAATTCTGCTCCTCACCCTCTTCCCAAATATCCAGTAAGGATGCAGGTCCCAATCCAGCAGCTTTTGCTCATCACTTCGAATACTTCTGCAGCTTTTATTTCCATGGTGGGAACTCCTCCCTCCAAACCAGATTCCTGCTGTCCCTCCCTGCTCCCAGGATCCCATGGAGCAGCTCCACAGGAGCAGAAACCCTTTATCCAGGTGGCTTTGAGCCTTCTGTTCACCCACAGGAATCCTCCCATTCCCTTTGTTTTCCAGGGGATGGAGCAAAGTGAAAGACAAACACTCCTCTGCCATGGACAAGTTTTCACTGCTTATCATTTAAATAAAAAATCTGGTGATTCCACTCAACTTTTCATGAGTTGGGAAAGTCCAGAGCACTGTTATTATTATTTTTTTTCTATTCCCAGGCAATTTGGTTTGTCCTTTATCTCCCCACCACAGGAATATGTTGGGTTCCAGTCAGGAACTAATTCCCAGTCACCAGCACTAAGGACACACCAAACCCATTCGTATTTCGGGTGAGAAAAGTCATAGAAAAATGAGAAAAGTCTGGGTTTCAGCACTTCCAAGGACTTTCCAAGAAAGTTACTTTGGGCCACAGCAAATTGCGTTTGGACAACGCTCTCAAGGACAGGGGGGATTGTTGAGGTGTCCTGGGCAGGGCCAGGGTTTGGACTTGGATGATCCTTGGGGGTCCCTCCCAACTCAGGACATTCTGTGATTCCCTGATTCCATTCCCTCTGCTTATTCTTGACTCCAAAGGTCTCCAAACTGGGAGTTTCCTCCAAATACAAATTATAAAAGGGTTTGTTGCAGTTTAGCTCCATGTGCCCCGTTCAGGATGAGCCTTTTTTCCATCATCCTCATCATCCTTGCAGTCTCAGAATTATCTCACTCTACCAACTGCTGACATTTGATGCTGGGAAGGAGTCCTGGAATCCTCAATGAGCTGCTTGGTGGGAAAATCCAATGGGAAAGAGGCTCTTTGAAACATGGCAGCGAGTGGGAAAGACACCTTCAGCTGGGATGGGGAAGAGCCACCCTGGAGAAGCCCCCTGGAGCAGAGAGGTTTCTGCTTGAGATCTTCAGCTGGGTTCTTCAGAACAAACAAACTCTGCATTTGTTTTCCCACAGATCATTTTCCAGCCACTCACTCACTGGTTTCTGACAACCGACATCCATCAAATCCATCTCCTTCCCTCTCCCTTCTCAAGGGGAGACCTGCAGGAGGTGGATTTGGTTATTAATTCCTGTTGCCTTAGGAATGCTACTCCTTTTATTACCCAGGACCACAAGGAACAGCCATAAAACCTGAAGTTGCAAGAAATTGTTAAAATATATGTGATTTTGCAAGAGATTCATCAGCCCAGCAGGACTCCTCCACTCCCCCCTGGTGATCCCACAGCTCTGGATTTGAGAGGCAAAGTTTTTAACTCTTTTCCCACATAATCACAGAAAGGTTTGGGTTGGAAGGGACCTTAAAGATCATCCAGTTCCAACCTCCTGATGTGGGCAGGGACATATTTCACCAGCCCAGGTTGCTCCAAGCCCCGTCCAACCTGGCCTTGGACACTTCCAGGGATCCAGGGGCAGCCACAGCTTCTCTGGACAACCTGTGCCAGTTGGGACCAATCCATGGATTACCTTGAAAATGAAGCCCCATTTCTCTATATACACACACAGCAGGAAGTAGGAAAGCCAGAAAAGAAGAAAGCTCCCAATTCAGATCTTCCAATTCCCAAACTCCTGCCATCCCACTGCCTTGAGCAGCCAGAACTGACTCTAAGCAGGAAAATTAACAGCAAAACACACTGCAAACATGTTTAGAGAATTGTCCTACTTCAAACACACCAACTTTCAAGCCCCTTTAACAAGTAGATGCTTTGAATCCAAATGTGCACAACTCTGACAGCAATGCATATACAGTTTAAAAAATTAAGCAATCCTTTAGACTCAGATTTTCTGGAAGGAATCAAAGTGTTCACCCATTGCTTCACTGGAAAAACATTGTATTCCCAGAAAGTTTTCATGACAGACTCTCTAAAAGGAGGCTGCAACAACAACTGGAAGAGCCCAAAGGGCTGATGCATCCAAGAGAACGTGGCATAGACTACGAAACTATTCCATATCCTAAAACAAGGAGGGAAGCAAAATTTCAAACCATTTTTGCACTTTGTTAACAGCTGCAAATTTGATCTGTAAAAGGAGGTGTTCTGGAAAATATGGTGTTACCAAACACACACCAAGACATCAAGAGAGCTGTTTTCCAGGACTCTGGAGTGTGCAGCAGTGGGGAGCAGAAAACTATGGAATCATAGAATGGTTTGGGTCAGAAGGTACCTTAAAGATCATCCAGTTCCAAAATCCTGGTGAAACTGTTCCTACAGAGACTTGGAGACCAAGGGCTGGGCTGCACAACTTCCCAGAGATGGGAAATGCCTCTTGCAAAGGTGTGCAGGGAAGAGAACTAGAAAATTCCAGTCACACAGTTGGAAGTTCATTGCCTTGTTTAGGATCAAAAAATGGTTTGGGTTGGAAGGGACCTCAAAGATCATCCAGTGGCACCCCCTGCCATGGGCAGGGACACCTTCCACCAGCCCAGGTTGCTCCAAGCCCTCTCCAATCTGGCCTTGGACACTTCCAGGGATCCAGGGGCAGCCACAGCTTCTCTGGGCAACCTGTGCCAGGACCTCTCCACCCTCATTGTAAAAATTGTCTTCCTTATATTTAATCTAAACCTGGCTTAAGTTTGAAGCCACTTCCCTGTGTCCTGTCCCTCCATCCCTTGTCCCAGGTCCCTCTCCAGCTCTCTTGGAGCCTCTTTAGCCACTGGAAGAGGTTCGAAGGTCTCCCTGGAGCCTTCTCTTCTCCAGGCTGAACACCCCCAGGTTGTGACTGAACTCTGTGATGTTCTGCACCTCTACCATAAAACACAACGAACAGAAAGTACAAACCCTCTCAGGTCTGGGCAGATCATACAACATTTGAAAGGGCTTGTCTGGAGAACTGCTGGAATAAAATCAAGGCATCTCAATCAGTAAGGAAAAAACCAGCTCAGCTGTTCCCATGAGGTGGAGCCATAAACACCAATCGCAAATTTCCAGCATGAGGTGGCATCTGTAGGACCCCACAAAACCAGGGATAGGGAACGGAAAACTGCACTTTGGCAAAGTGCCTTTCTTTGCTGGACAGATCTTGTGCTATTTTAATGTGCTTCACTCTGAGGAAAATATCCCAGGATCACAGAGGTTGGAAAAGCCCTCCCAGCCCATGGATCCACCCTGTGCCCCATCCCCACCTTGTCCCCCAGCCCAGAGCACTCAGTGCCACGGCCAGGCCTTCCTGGGACACCTCCAGGGATGGGCACTCCAAACCTCCCTGGGCAGCCCCTGCCAAGGCCTGAACACCCTTTCCAGCAACAAATTCCTCCTCCTGTCCAACCTGAGCCTCCCCTGGCACAGCTGGAGGCCGTTCCCTCTCCTCCTGTCCCTTGTTCCCTGGGAGCAGAGCCCGACCCCCCCCAGCTCCCCCCTCCTGTCAGGGAGTTGCAGAGCCAGAAGGTCCCCCCTGAGAGAATTAAAATAAGTTACAAAAATGGTACAAAAAATCATCAAAAAGTCAGGAGATGAACACTCTGCAGTCACTCCACTTTGAAGCCAGTTACTTGTGGCATTTTGACCAGAAAGACACTTCCAAGCTACTCAGAAGTTCCAAACAATGACCTCACTGAGATGTGTTGGTTCTGTAAATCAACATGACACGTTCTGTGTCACAAGGGTGGAGTTTTCCCTTACTCTCTCCTTAAAAAGGATGTTCCTGATGGCTTTCAACAGGAATTCTTCAACAGGGGATCGACACACCTACAGGTGAACCCAACCCTTGTGCAAACCAGCCCCCTCCAGACCCCATTATACTTACAGGATGGGAGCCTAAATCCTGGGAGAGCAGCAGTTCCCAAAAGGACTGAGGAATCATGATGGATAATCAGCTAAATTTACAATCTTTTAATGCAAATAACTGAGGCTGAAAGGTCTCAAAAATGCAATCCTTGGAGGTATCAACAAAACAAGCCACGATATCAACTGAGAGGTTCGAGGATGGACCTGCATGTCCTGCACACAGCAGGACTGAAACCATTCCCAGGGGCTGGATCCAGTAATTCCACGCTTTAGAATGGGTTTTAAAACACCTGGAGTTTCAGAAGAGCCATAAAAGGTTTACAATTAAGAGGTTTAAGGAACTCCAACTACAGAGGTTATTAATTAACATGTTTTGACGTGGATCAAGTGAAACAGTTTCAAACTAGAGTCGTTATTCGTCCTTCTAAGAGGCTCTGCTGGAACAGAACAGTCCTGGAACTCAAGGAGGACTAAGAGCATGGAAAACCAACTACCTGCACCACTCCAGAGACATGGGAAGGATCCTCACACTTGGAAGGATCTAGAGGAAAAGCAGCTTTTTCAAAACCGTGTCCTGCTGCACCCAAAAGATGCGGGAACAGCTGGATTGGACTCGGGATTAACGACACACCAGTGCCAGCATTCCATTCCAGGGTCACTCCTGGCCTTAAAATCAGCTGGTCTGGAATAGCAGGAAGCTGCAGAGAACATCCAGACCAACAGAGGAGGAGAGAAAGAACTCAAACTACAGGCACAGTCCATGAGAAACGGAGCAGAGCTGTGTTCACACACCACCCATTTGCAGACCTTGCTGTTTCAATTAAAAAACTCCAAATTAGCTGTCAGGCCTCCAACTTTTACTTTCATATTCTTAATTCCGTTTCAATGTATCTGATATTTACATATTATAGTATAATTATACCTACCATACCACGGCTTGGAGTAGGTTAATTGCATAGGAAGATTTACTAATCGTTTACATTTTTGTTTCTTTGTTGTCGCTTTTTTTTCCTTAAATTATTCTTTTTTTTTTCTTTTTTCCCTCTCTCTCGTTTTTAAAAAGCACAGTAAAGAGTCTGAGGACAAATTATTCAACTGTTTATCATACATAAGACTGCATGACTATAATACAAAGGGCTTGTCTTTTCATTTAACGTTACAATATACACAGCAAGTCCGGACTAGATCTTACAATCTGAACACAGGTATTTAACCTTTTCCATGCTGTTTATGTTTACAATGCACAGAAGTCCTGTAACCAAACTGTGTAGTAAAGCACACAAAACTGGACTGTAACATAACACAGTATGCAGAAGCACTGGATTTTTTTTTTTTTTTATGATTTCTTCTTGATGGAGATATTATTTCTTTGAACTGCTTTTTTATTTGTTTTTTTTTTGGGCGCTCGCTAAAGGTGTGGCAACTGGAGCACACGAAATATAACCCAGATTTCATATTACCCTTATAATTCCTAGACAGCAGTAAGTACTGGATTCCTTTTTGTTTTATATTGCTAAACTCAGCATTCCCAGTTCTAAGGGTGACAGCCTTCCAAATCCTGTAAACTTCTCCCAATTACTGAGCTTCGAAAAGAAAACCATAAAGAAAAAAAAAACCAAATAAAATGAGAACAAAACAAAACAAAACAAAAAAAAAAATCCCACTTTCATCCACAGGGTCGATGTGTCGATACAAAAAGAAATCAGTTGATCGAGGAAACCATGATTTACATTAAAAAAAAAAAATAAAAATGAGCATCCCAAGGGTTCATTCCCGTTCACATGGTGAGTCAGCTGCTGCGTTGCCACTGTGAGTGTAAAAAAATTCCACCTTTTCCACGGAAAAAAAACAAAACAAACCACAACTTGGCGGCGTGGAATTGACCATTTGCTGCTAAATTAACTTTTTCCAAGGGCTTACTGGCAGAGGTAGATCACTGCTTCTGTAAGAGAGGATGGGCAACACTGGGCATCCGGGATGGGCAACAGAGGGATTCACCTCGTTCTTTCCCCAAGTTTTTCACGCAGCTTTTACCTTTTTTTTTTTTTCCCCCCCCACATACAAATCAAATCTCTGGATGGGCCCATAAATTTTGCAACTGCCAAGCTGACTGTGTTATATTAAGGCAGCGTTACCCAAAAATTAGGCACCTGTTAAATACAGCCTGCTAACCTCAGGTCTCATGTGAGTGTTTTGCTTTACTCAGAACTTATTGTTTTGGACCTGTTCATGCAATCAAGGTCTTTTGCCTTCAAGTTTACAATTATGTTAATAAGGAATACAAGAATCAACTGCTGGTTTCATAGCTTCTGGTTCTAAGTGTCCCTTTTGCCTTCAGAAGCCTGAACACATTGATAATGTAACAGATGTTATAGTCTCCAAGTAGATGTCAATCTATTATCTTCAGTACACAGATTGCTGTAAATGTATTGGCTATGAATTCAACAACAGTTCCAGTTTTGTTTAAGCAATAGTACAGCCATAATTTTCAACTGACATTTAAAAATGGTCTAGTTACACCTTGTGTCAAAGTGCAGAACTGCTACATTATTGGTTACAGACATCTATGTGCTATAAAAACAGCTTTGGTACAATAAATTATCAAAAAAGAAAATAAATTTTTGTAAAATTCACAGCATAATTGTGAGGCAAAAAAGCAGTCACATAAAATTCTGCATTTTTTTTTTTTTTAAAAATGTTCAGGATGAACAGAAGACGTCTTTGTGCAGAAGTAATGGTGGAGAAACCACGTGCCGAGAAAAAAGCAAAAGAAAAAAGTAAAAAGCAGGAAGGGACACAGTTGTAGCTATTTCCATCAAAGCAAACCACTACTCCTGTGACCTTCAACCAATAAGGAAGTCAACTTTATGACACACGCAAAGTGACCTTGCAATACCTTACAATAAGTGGGTCACAAAAGTCTATTTTTTTTAAAAGAAAGGCCTCTTGAATTACCCATTCTCTGTGTTTTCAGCATTAAGGACTGTCTGCAAAAGCATGTCCAAAAGTGATTGCATCTGAAATGGTAGGCTCTTCTAACTTAAGAGTCCAAATCCATAAGGCCAAAGGTTATCCCAAAGACCACCACTTAGACCTCCCCAGGACTGGCCAGGACCGACCCGTTGATTGCTTCTCAGTGCACCTCAGTTATGAAACCAGTCATATTCCAACACTAAACTGCCTGCGGTCTCCAAAAGGTGGGACCCACAGAATCCCATCACAAATTGCTGCTTTGATCCTCAGTAGATTCAGAAAAGGAGAGTTCTGCTCACCGCCACTTCACATGCTCAGTGTGCCTCACCAGCTCCGTCACAACCGTCCCTTTTTTTACAGCTGAAGAGTTTTATAGGTTTGTGTGATCTGAAGGTCCCTCTTGCTTACAGTACTGCATTGCTGTGCCCATGTTTGTTTTGGGGAACTAAAAAAAATATATATATTAACTCACTTCCCCCCCTCCTCCCACCCGAAAAACTTCAAAGGGCCTTTTCTCAGAAACCATGTGCAATGCCTTTAAAAAGAAAACTAGTTTGCGGCTACGACTAAGGTTTGAACAATAACCCCCTGTTGAATGAGAGCGAAAAAAAAGGGAAAAAATAAAAAACCAAACCAAAAGCCCTCCCCAAAAAAAACCAAACTATGACTAGAGGTTGTGGCAAGTTAAAATTGGGGGAAGCAAAAGGTGAACACCACTAAGCTATTCGTTATGGTGGGTCCAGACATGGCTCTTAAAAAAAATAAACCAAAAAAAAAAAAAAA